AAAAAGTCATCTTGCCTGTTTGATCCTCTTCCCAACTGGTTTGCCATTGTCTTCCAAGCCAAGATTTCCTGGTATACCTTGGTCTTTACCGCGTCTTCTGAAAGTGGCACTTCAATGTCTGTGTCTTCTTTTTGGTATTGCAGCTTTGGTTTCTTAGTCGGTTTTCTCATTCCCTATTGTACCTCATGCTTTGATCCAGTTGATCAATACTGCATGGGTATTTCTTAGCATTATAATTAGTTCTTTTAAGGCTTGGATATTTCTTTTGCTTATTTTTGAACTGTTCAAGGTGGAGGGCACTTTGGCTATCTGTGAATGTCTTTATTGGGATATCCTGCCAAGCATATTGTTTAAGCCAGAATGATACTTTCTTTAAGGCTGGAACTTCTGCTTGGTAAACTGTGGCATCATAATAAAGTTGAAGACTTTAACAAACTTGAAGATTCGAAAACTTATGTATATAATTTAAAATCATGGTTAGAGCTGAAACAAAGGTTGGAAACAAAGGAGGTCAAGGTTACGAGGTCTCATTCTTGAACCATGATCCAAAAGCTGTATATATTTTTTGCATTGACAACTTTTTTGTGGCCCATATTAAGAAAACACCTCAAAGCTCTTAGATTGAAACCATTAAGCGACACTTATTGAGAAAGTCATGTAGATTCTCTAAAACCTTTACGTTTTGAAATAGAAAATATTAGCTGTACTTTATTTAGTGTTTATGAAAATATAGAAGTAGATAATTTGATTTGATATGAAGCCAGTGTTTTTTTTTTTTTTTGGTCACAATAAAACAATTTAAGTTTTTATGTTTGATCATCATTTGGGATAATTTTGAGTCATATTAATTCGATAAATAAGGGACTTCATTCAAAAGATTTTGATTTAAACTCAGCTATTGATTTATTAAATAGTTCATTAATGTTTTTTAAAGATTTAGGATTGGATGAATCCTTTGACAGCCTTATCTTAGAAGCTGAAAAATTAGCTAATGAAGGGAGCATAGGAAAACACTTTGAGTTGACTATGCCACATCATTGTGTTTGATGTAAGAAACAAAATTTTTCATATGAATTTTCTAAAAACCTCTTTATCATCGAATTATGTACTTCCTTGTCGTGCTGCTTGATCAATAGTTGCTGTTTTTCCTGCTCGCTTCCTAAGAATGGCATCAATTTTGGGAGTTATTGCTGCTTACCTAAATTTACCAGTGAGATTTGTAACTAAATGAATCAGTTTAATGACTAATGGCAAATATCCCATTCATCCTCCTCCTTTATATTTATTTATTAGTATGTCAATAAAATAGAAAATAACTATTTATTAATGTATATAGTTCATAAATAAAAATAATAACTCAGCTTGTCATTAATTTTTTTCAATTAATTTTAATTTCATTTCAAATTCAAACTGTCCAACAAAAACTGGAATCGGAGTCAACCTGTTTTTAGAGACTCCAGCTCCGACTCCTTTTACCCCAAAATCATCATCGACTACGACTCCACAGCCCTGCTCAAAAGTTGATATTTTCGCCCCATAAATACATAATACTGATACAAAATCACTGATATTTAGTACATAAAACCAAGGTTATGTTGTTAGCAAATATCTAACCTTAAAATATGACGTTGTCGTTGTCTTGCCCATATTACATGGAACTTTGATTGCCAGAGCCTACTCCAAAGAGAGGTTGACATCTATTTTCCACCTTCAATTTTGAGGGAAAACACCCCAGGGGTATTTAGGAGGGGTCTCCCACCCCTCTCCCCTTCCACCAGTTCACAAGAGAGGACTTTCAGCATGCTGCATATTTAGATTGCAGCCATGCCACACAAACACTATACATTTAAAACATCCACGTCTCCTCCAGGATTCAAACCCGGTCCCTTCGGTACCTTAGTAGACTTCCCTAAACACTATACTGTCTGGGCGACACGATGTGACATTTTACTTCAGTTTTAACCATAACTTACTGGTGGCGCCATTTTTTTTTTATCAAAGTGGAGAGTTATTTGTACTTCCAGTAAAAAAAATAGATCTGAAAGAAGTTATGCATGATTTTACAGAAAAAAAAAGTTCGAAAAAGGTTATTTTAATTTAGGTTTTAACTTTGTATATTGTACGGGTATTTTTTATTCTTTGTTATTTTAAAAGTATTGTTTTGTACTAGCTTTAGTTCCAAAGTTTGTCTGTTTTTATATATAAAAAAAAATTTAATTAATATTTTATGTGTGTTATTGTCTTAATTTAATTAGATTAGAGTACATTTTTCTGGTTATTATTATTATTTTTTCTAAATCTGTTTGTAGAGTATTTAAAGCTTGTATACTCTTTTGAGGTTTGCCTATGATGGCAAAAATGCTAGAGGTGGCGGTGGCATTATATAAATGACAAATGCTCTTTAGACAAAATATTAAAAGGTTTTTATTGAAAAGACGAGATGTTAAACTTATGATGATGACAAGATGTTAAGCATTAATGGCTTCTTTAACAAGATAAATCAATTTTTATTTTTCTCTAACATTACATTATAACAATTCAATAACAAATGCATAGTTCATGGTTCTTTCTTAGTAGTCATTTTGACATTTTCCTTGCTAACATCTGTTAAGTAGTTTTGCAGTAGACAGAATCATCATTGCATATCAACATGCTATGATTTCTTCTTGAATATTACACCTTGTCTTTCCATTTTCATACAGACAATAGCGTGGAGGTTTTGCTGAGCAAATTCAGAGTAGCATATTTTGTCACTTCCCAACAAAGACTGAACTGTAAATGGTGAACTCTGTATCTGAAGCAAGCATCAGTCAGTGCCTTGTCATGCAGTTGTTAGTATGAGTATTTTATATTGTGCCAGTTGTCTTTTGGCAATCCACAGAATGCCTAGGAAATTTGTCAAATATTAATTGTTTTATACTTCAGCATTAAATTTTTGGCATTCTATTAAGTGCTGCTTATATACATTAATTAATATTAATTATTATTGGACAAGTCAAACAACAAGAATCAGTATAATATTTGTAAATTTTGCAGACCTACTTGTTAACTATAGAATCATCTCCTCAGCTGCCTAAGTGCAAATGAACGAGATAAGATATGATGATAAGAATTACTAGAAAGAAATTAAGGTACTGGTGCCATCTATTGATGAAACAAGAAAACTAAAACAAAATTTCCATAAAGGCTGAAGGTAAAGATGGGTTGGAATTAGGGTCATCAACTAGAACATAAAGATTTTTTTGAATGTGAATTGCACCTAGAAAATCTAATTATAATGACAGGAGCTTTTCAACCAACATTATTAACCAAGCAGTTAAAAAAAGTTCTTATTTCAGCACATCAAAAGGCATACTCTCATTTTTTGAGATTGTAGGAATTCTGTTGTCATTCCTTTATTTCCATCGATTAGCTATAAAACTGCATGTATTTTATAGAAATTTAACTTTCTGATTATTTTTTTTCCTTAGCAATAAAATTCGCAATTTCGTACTTAAGGATCCCATTCAGGATATGAATTCCTGGAGTATTTACAGGATTCCTTGCCAGTGTGGTTTAATTTACATTAATCAAACTAAGGCAGCCTTAAAATATCATGTTAAAGAATATGAGGCATATATTAGGAAAAAGGCTCCAGAAATCTTCTATTGCCAAGCATTGTTGGTCAGGAATTCACACTTTCCATTTTTCTGCAGCCAAAATTATTCAAAAAACATCTTCCATTGGTGAATTAGATTTTCTAGAGGTGTTTCACATTGGGGGGGGGGGGGGAAAGAGCTTTTTCATCTAATTAACAACCCTAATTCCAATCCATCTTTACCTTCAGCTTTTAAGGAAATTATGTTTTAGTTTTTGTTTCATCAATGGGTGGCTCCAGTAGCTTAACTTTTTCCAGCCGTTCTTATCTTATCTCGTTCATTTGCACTTAAGCAGCTGAGAAAGATGATTTTATAGTTAAACCACCAAAACAAGTCCTGCAAAATTTATAACTATTACTCTGATTCTTGTTTTTGACTTCTCAAGTAAATCATTATTTGGTGTGTTATTTTAACCTAAACTAATATTAATTAATATGCATCTTGGTGAGTGTTGCTGAAGACAGAGATTATAGTTTAAGCAAATTAATAAGGTAACTGGATTAAAATCACATAAAATCGTATAAATTTTAGGGTTACCTTAATCCAGAAACTTCTGCAGGAATTAGGTGATACAGTGTTGATGTAAACTCACCAATATATGCATCTACATTTTGTGGGTGGCAGAATAATATGAAGATGTCTTTTATATAAGTTTAAATAATTGACTTTTATATTTCTTTTTAGCCCAAAAGGGCTTTGTACCTGAAGGACTATTGTTTACTTTTTGTGATTTTGTGTTGAAAACTTTAAAAAGCTGTATGACTTTTCAAATCATTGCCACCAAATACTATCGCCCTGTATTATATTTGGTGAAATTAAATAATGAAAAATCTGCATAAATATATGTATGTTTCTCACATTGTGATAAAAATAATGGTACCTAGAGCCGTCCAGTTTTGAATGGCGTAATCCTACTGAAGCCCAAATTTGATATTTCGAATTTGTTTTATTATCGATTTCATATTTTGTAAAACTTTAATGAATTTTTGATTAACAGATTCAATTATTTCAAAGCGAGCAATGGCAACGTTGTACGGAAAAAACATTTTATATCCAGCTCGTGAGACTGTATCGGAAATTCTAAAGATATGCTCATTTTAAAATTATTTTGCGATATTGCTCTTGAACTGAATTTTATGGTTTCAGTGCAAAAACATGATATTTAATGGAACATGATATTAAAGGTAACACACAAAATGTTAAAAAAAGCACCCCTTTGGACGTAATTTACAATCTGAAACCTTTCAGTTTTATTATTATTATTATTGTAGTAGTGTTTTTAAAAGTAGTATCCTGAATTTTTCTAATGATATGCTTTATATGCTTTTTAAATATTAAAACTAACATTTTTATGCTTTATAGATATGTGTTTCCAATTAATTATCTCGAAGGAGTGCAGTTAGAATTTGTGAGACTAATTGAATTAATGAAATTTGAAAATGAGCGTGATTATCGTAACCTTTTTGCCAGGTATGGAGGACTAGCAGGACAGGTTGGTAAAAATATTTACTTACAAGTAATTCTTTTTATTTTGTGTGTATTCATTTGATTTTTATATAATGTGGTCATTCATATACAGAGCCATTGAAAAAATGCTGTAAGTGTAGAAGTACACGTTTTAAAAATTCAAATGCATTGAAATAAATATTGAAAAATGTCTGAAATTTTCATCTGGTTTTAATAGCATTGCAACATCAAAACATAACAAAATTTTTACTGATAAATTGAGACTTTTTTGCTGGGCCTGTTCAAATAACATATATAATATATGTGTGATATGCATATGCTTTTTCCTTTTACACTGTCAGTAGTACTACAGAAGATACGCTCTGCATGTTTTCAAGAATTTTTTTATAGTTAGAAACTGATGTCTTTTTATCATAGAAAAATCAGAAAATTCTTTTAATTTTTGGTTAATTTCAGCCATTGTAATTTTTAACTGAAATACTTAACGCATCACTCAATAAGTCTGCAAACTAGCTATGCTCCTCTAACTTTAGGATGTCCTTTTTGTAGAGCGATTTGTCTTTGCTCCCAAAATGGGCCTCACTTTCAGCAATCACTTCCCCATTTGAGGCAGATTTCTTTTCCTGGAGCATCTTTCTGATCATTGGGGGGGGGGCAGGTTTGGGGAGTGTGATGGGTGGGGAAACAATTTGAAGTGTAATTTATTCAATTTAACCATTGTTTTCATCAACTTGTGTGACACAAGGCATTGTCTTCGTGAAACAGCATTTTTTTCTTTTGCATATGATGCCATTTTTTCTTGATCCAGTAGTGCCATGTAACATTCACTTAGTTGATCCAGTAATGCCACGTAATATTTGCTATTGATAGTTTAATAGTTCAATCTTTCTCGAGATAGTCAATGAGCAAAATGCCGCAAAATACCTACTACTATCCAGAAATCTAATGGGTCTTTTCAACAGTATTGCCATATATGTGTCAGACTGGAGACTTGAGTGATGTGTTGTGCCTTTAATAATTTATTTGGTACAACTCTGATATACGCCTTAATTTCAACAAATGTGGTGATATATGTTCTGCGCTGGTTTTTGGCATGATTGCGTGTTCTATGGCAACCCTGTTGACGTTGAACAATCTTTCGCTGGAGCTCGTCTGTGTCTGAGAAGATGGGAGGGAAAGATAAAATGGTAGAAGTTGTTGAATTGAAGTTCGGCAAAAGGAAATATCATTGTGGCTATCCTGTTGAGGGGTAGTGGGTATTTGGAGGTGTGGAAAGAGGGTCTGGGAGATTATTTTTAATGGCTGTGCATGATAGAAGTAGGGATTTGTGATTTTATTTATTTGTGAACCATAGTATGAATTTTCTGGAGTGCATCTGGCTGTCATGTAAATATGATAGTGATTACGTGACGGCATGTTAAAGGCGGTATGAAATTGGTATTTCTGCTGCTCGAAAAAGCATTAATTCATGGTAAGTGCATTTTATTTTATTCTTGTTCTTATTTTGTAGAATGTTATGATCATTGGTTATTTAGTATGAATTTCTGTCGTTGTTGTTTTTGAAACAGAACGCTGTGTACATGGTATTATTTGAAATTTATTGTTATTATGGTATTTTATTAAAGTGAGGTGTGCGTAGATCGTAGATTCGTTCCTTGCCTAAATTGTGCAATTCATAGATGTGTTTTTAAGTTTAAACAGGATGCTGTGTACATGATATTCTTTGAAATTTATTGTTGTTATGTTAATTTATTAAAGCGAGGTGTGCGTAGTTCGTAGATTTGTTCGTTGCCTAAATTGTGCAATTCGTAGATTTTTTTTAAGTTTAAACAGGATGCTGTGTACATGGTATTCTTTGAAATTTATTGTTATGTTAATTTATTAAAGCAAGGTGTGCGTAGTTCGTAGATTCGTTCCTTGCCTACATTGTGCCATTCATAGATTTTTTTTTAAGTTAAAACATGTCACTGTGTACATGGATTCTTGTCAAATATTTTTGGTTAGAACTTGACATTTTTGCTATCTAAATTTTTAGTTTTTGTTTCGGATTTTTAGCTTAAATCATGTGTTCGAAACGTAGTTTTGCATGTGCGAAAACCGCATTTTTGGAGACATTTTAGGCTTAAAGTTTGAAATATAGACAAAAAATTTAGATAGTAATATGGCAGTGTGAAGTTTCTCGCCAAAAATGTTTGCCGAGAAATTTGCTGACTTGAGGGCGCATATCAGAGTAGTTCCATTTATTTTGCAGTGCTCTTAAATGCTTATTCTTTTACAAGCAAAACATTCTTATTGGTTTTAAAACATCCAAGTTTTATTTTTTAAATCTGTCTATAATGCATTTTTATAGAGAATGAATTTATACTGTTGTTTGATGCAATTTTAGCATTAGCAGTTAATTTGCTTCAGCTGCAAGTTTCTTTGATAAAAATTAAAATTGCTGTTAAAATATTTTGCTGTAAAACATTAATTTATAAATTTCCTGACATTAAATGAAATGCAGAATGCACATGCACATTATTTGTGGATGATTTGATACACAAGTAATGTGCAGCCTCTGTTTTTCGAGTAGCACAAAAGGAATTAGTCTGCAGTTGTCAAATTTGGAAAGTGGGATGGCCAAATCAGATCACTAGAGTGAGAAATTGTATGATTTAGAAATTCGTATAGTATTACAGCCATACCATGTTTGCCTTTTCAATTTTGAGAATCTTCATTGTTCCACTGTAATACACACTGTGAACATCTGTCACTTAGTCTGTTTGAATAAAGGCTTTTTTGCAACTGTGGTCTGCAAATGTATGCCAACAATATATGGCATACTAGTTGCTTGATTCCTGTCGTGCATTCTAGGAGGATTGTCTGTTCAAACTGATATATTCTATTTGTGCCCACCTTTTTCTATATCCACTAGTTTCCAAAAATTAAGTGAAAATCACAAAAATAGTCATAACTTGTTTTAAAATAAGCCAGTTCATATAAAATTTGAATATGTTATCAAATAAGAATTGCTGTCACTGAGTAAAAATACATCATCTGCGAGGAGCTTAAAGTTACACATTTGAGAGCAGGCCTGTGAATTTTGCTGTGATGCTAAGATAAGAAATCTGGAATAGCCAATTCATAACAGTGACCTCCAGGCATTATTTGCCTGAAGAACTGCAGTGGAGAGCTATTGAAAGACTAGACACATGTGTCAGACAGAAGTAGCCAAATGTGAATGTACTGGCTAAGTGTGAATTCACCGTGGTTCGTAGACTTTGGCGACAATTTCTGACCACAGATTTGGCATCCAAGAAGTTTGGCGAAGGATGGCCAACCACTAGGCTGTGCGCTGCTGGTTGATTTTTGTTGTTATGTTCACGAAGAAATAGAACCACAGCGCCAATAACTCAGTTCCTCCCTTACTGCAGCTACCAGAATGTTGGTATTGATGTCAGCGGTCTATAGAAGGCTTCATGAAGGAGGTCTGTATGCGAAGCGACTAACCATTTACGTGCTACTACTTGTGTGATGTCATAGAAGGGAATGTTTGAGTTGGGCACATCAACATGCCCACTTGACGGCTGATCAATGGAGGGCTGTTCTGTTTATGTATGAATCCAGCTTTAGGCTCCAAAGCAATAGCAGGCATTATTTGATTTGATGAGAACCTGGAACCTGTTATCATCCAAAAAGATGCTTGCAGAGGAGACAGTGTTTGTGCTTGAGATCTTATCTCTTTGGGTAAACACATAGACCTTTATGTCTTAACCACGTGGAACTGTGAATGCTCAGGCCTAGTGAATGCTTAGGCTCAGTGAATGCTCAGAGATGAAATTCTTGATGCTTATGTGTGCCCTTATGCTGGAGCAATAGGTGGTTTGCTACAGGATGACAGTGCTAGACCACATACGACTCGCATTGTGGATGATTATCTTCAGCAGCAAACAATTCAGCACATGCAGTGGCTACTCGAACACTGGATCTGAATCCTATCAAGCATGTTTGGGATGCTTTAGGAAGACATATAGCTGCTCTAAGTCCTCCTCTTCAGACCCTTGCCATGCTTGCAACTGCTTTGCAAGAGCAATTGCTTCTAAGGGAGATCATACTCCATATTGAAAGTAATTTTCCGGTACCAAACTTACACATCCGATTTGTTCGTTTTATATGTATGTTAATTTCTATAACACCATTGTCTGGTAATTTCTTTATGTGTTATTTTATACCTTACTATGTGTCGTATATTGTGAATCAGTTTCATTAAAGTCTACTTAAAACTTGTTGAGTAATTGCGATTTTCGTGGTATTTCAATAATTGATGATAACCAGTGTAAGTTGCCAACTTACCCAATTTAGACAGGAGACTTCTGATTTTTGATCGTTCTCCCGCCAACCTGATTTAAAGCATATTTCTCCCAACTTTCTCTTTTTCTTAAAATTTCTCACGATTTTTATGTAGCTTGACTTAAAATGAGTTTCAGCATCTGAAAGCACTTGGTTTTTCTCCAGATTACATATAAAAGTAAACTAAAGTCCTTTCATCAGTGAGAAATAATGCCGCGCTTCTGCTTTGTGAGTAAGAGCACACATACAATTCCAAAATGTCATGTTCCAGTTCTTCAGTCAGCACAGAACAAGATCAAGGTTGTTATCTTGTTGCTGAGCAGTGTTGAGTCATGTGCTTTTGAGAAAAAGTTTAAGAAATTAAATGTTTTGTTTTAGTTATGTCTGTGAAAAAGGTAAACTTTCAAAAATCATACACAGATGACAGCTTTATTTAAAAAATTGTTTCCTGGAAGCGAAATCGCTAATAAATACTCTAGCGCAAGGACCAAAATGCCTGCTTGTTAAAGAAATGGGAATGAAAAATAAATCTTCGGTTATTGATTGCATTAAAACAGTTCTACTCATGGAAGCCAGTAATATCAATTCAAAACTGTATCCAATTGTTGTTTCGGTTGATCTTTACATTATGGTAACTTGGCGATTTTTTGGCGAAAATGTGGCGACCAACTCTCCTACAGCAACCCTCTATTTTTT